GGAGACTATTTGGTCTTGAATTGTTCTGAATGCAATAATTGGATAACAAATTGTTCACATCTGTTCTTCAGGAATCATACCGCCGACCTCATCGCAGACGCGTTGGAGTTCATGTACACACCATGGCCTGACAATAGCGATAAATACGCACTGAGAAGCCAGCTGGTGGACATCATCGGTGATTCGGTGTTTGTCGCACCAAGTCACGAGGTCGCTGACATTCACAGTCAACACGCTCCCGTGTACATGTACGAGTTCGCTCATCGTTCAAATAACGCCAGTTTCTACCCTGAGTGGATGGGTGTTGTCCACGGGGAAGATCTACCTTACGACTTCGGAATCCCACTGTTACCAAGGTTTTCCGAATATAACGTTGTGGACAAAAACATCAGTTTGTTTGTTATGGCAGTCTACGCCAACTTCGCGAGGACTGGCGATCCAACACCCCAGTCAGTCAGCGGTGTTACGTGGGAGAGGTACAACAGCAGTCACAGAGCTTACCTGCGAGTTGACGCCAGTCCCAAGATGACGGCAGCATTTGCTCCTCGCCGAATGACATTTTGGAATGAGTACTATCCTAAACTGCTGCAAGTGAAGTTTGATACCAAAGACGAAGTAACCAGCGATGCTAGTGCTAGTGTTGCCATGGCAGTTTTTCATCAAGTTGCCCTCGTCATCAGTTTGGAGTTGTTTAACTAAAGACAGGTTGGGCTGATATGAAATCAAATCAATCTTTAAGACACTTATCATGTGTGCTACTAAACACTTTACTGTTGATAATTTTCATAACATTATGTAGTTTTATAATTAATCATATTTTATATTTCCGACGGCTGATTCCGATATTCTATCTGTTGCCAAAATCTAAAACTTCTTTGCTTTCATGGCCAGATAGAATCATAAGTGACAACTGTTGTATTTTGTTATTTTGTCATATAGACATCGTATACATTTATTTCTCGGTTTGTTTTGTCTTATCTTATTTTCTTATCTTCTTTCACATTTAAAAATTATTATTTTTCTATACTTTTCGTTATTACATATACAGCTGTAGTGGAACCCCACCTTACGGCCACCCCGTAAATACTGCCACTTCTTTATTACGGCCACTTTATTCTGGCTCAAACAAAAGCTCAGTCCGTCCTTTTCTTGTTTAATGAACCCATTCAATACGGCCAGATTTTTGTGGCCCATGTGTGACCGGATTAACGGGGTTCCACTTTATATTACGTATATAGTTATCTTGTCATCTAAGATAGCTTAAGTTTTGAGGGAGTAAAAGAGCCCAGCTGTTAACTCTTTAGCTGTGTTCCAAGATTTTTCTCCTTTGACTTTTTAAGTCTTTAACCATCATATCTGGTACTTGAACAATACAAAGTTGATAAGGACGAAGGACACTATTCACTTGACTTTGAAGATGACTTCCGCTCAGGTTGTCGAAAGCGCATTCACTACCCTCATCCGGACGATCACACTATACGAACTACTGGTAATCCGGGGTTCACACCATTTACTATGTTACAAAGTTTATAAATTGCCAAACAAAACAACTAGTTGCTAGAGGGAAGATTCTGGCCCGAGGAAGATTAATCTCTACTAGTTTTAATGACGTTTTTCTCAAAAAGCTATCTTTACGACCCATAGAGTGTCAATGAAAATTCAGTGAGAATCAAAGAAAATTCTAAAAATGTGGCCACGGTCGAAAAATTGATTTCGCTCATACTCTGCCAGTTTGAAGGCCTAGGTAAATAACTGAAGGAAATCAAGTTAGTTTTTCGAAATATCCAATATAACGGCAGAAATCAGTCACGAAAAACGGTCATCGTACCGAAAGCTCAGATTTCACTTCGCGATAATCCGAAATTTTACACTTTTCAGCTTCTTGCTACACAGACGTTTACATTGCTGTGAAACGTTCTCAACTTTAAATGTGTACATTAATTCTTCCTTAATCAAGATATAGCGATTATTTTCATTTCTCGCGTTTTCCGAGCGAACTGAGCCCCGATTAAGTAGACACATTTTTCCAATTAAAACAAAACTCAAAAATTCTGCAAATTCAGAGAGGGAAACTGCTGACCGGTAGAGCATTAAATCGTCTGATATTCTAGTTAAAGACAGTTCAGTCAATGAATTTTAGGTTTACAGTTTCATTTTTGTGGGATCTACTAGCAATTTTGCATGAACGCCGATCAAAAGTCGAGAAAATTGCAATTCAGCGCCATTGAACTTGCCATGTAACGTAACACGCTAAAATAGGTTAAAACACTTTTGTTCTCTTGAGACAGGAAAATTAGAGCGGATTAACGTCTTTAACGTTTGAAACACTTTAAAAGTAGTATTTAACTTAAAAAAATCGCCGCAAGAGTTAAAAATAAAAGAGAA